TCCAGCTCGGCTGCTTTTTCTTCTTTGGCTCTCTCTTTTTCTTCTTTTTCCTTCTGGGTGACCCACTTCCGTAGTTCGGCGCCAGAAAGACCCATCTTCTCACCAAGCGCAACTAACTTTTCGAGATCCATTGTGTCTCGCAACTCGCAATTAAAACCTTGCCGCGTGCAAAAAGTATCTGCCTAAATCAGTCTATCGGAACACTCCCCTGCCCTCGTTAACGAGAACACTGCACAACACACAAAATCGTTCCGATAGCACTATCAACAACTCGAGGCTCTTTCTCACTACTTTGGACACACTGTGCACCAAAAGGTCCTGTCGCGGACGCCAGATTAATTGTCACACCTGTCCCGTTTATTAGGGAGGCGATCGCCGGGCTAATTCCAAGAGCCGAAGTATCGGCCCCCCGAACCGCACCACGAAAGCGTGGACAATTTAGAAGTGGTCCTTTTTGGCGCGCCAGCGGACGCCGGCTGTGGTCCAAAGAACAAGTCAGAGCCGAGAGTTGATAAACAAAACAAATATTATATTCTCAAAAAAAATGGCAGATCGAAAACAACACACAAGAATGCACACTCCACAATAGTTACATACAATACGTCACCAATCAAACAACGTACTACACAGTACAATCAGCCACACTCAAAACAACGGACACAGACAACGATACGCACTACAATGCAGTCGCATGCATTGAACAACCAAGGCACTTAAAGACTAAAGAGATATAAAACCTATTCAGTCCAAAGTCCTTGGAACAAAAGTCTGAATGATACTCTTCCGAGAATCACTCACTCAAAGTCCAGCGTTGTTGTCGTTCCACGCCCTCGATGTTTCTCTTCCAGGAAACCTCGCCGGAGTTTCTCTTCCAGGAAAACTTCCGTCTTCAATAGGCCACTCTCCAAGCTTCAAACTTCTTCGCCGGAAATCCGTCGGCTTCACACACGCAGCCGTTGCCCGCGTCTTCGCTCGATAGCGGTAAACACACGCTCTTGCCTGTAGCTCGAGCCTTCACCCACAGGTGGAATTCCTCTCTATCTCCTGCTTCGTCACTACGAACGAAACCTTCGCCGACTACACGGCGGAATCCCTACGCGCTCTGGCGTTAACTTCCGTCACCTCCTGTTCTGTCACTACGGGCAGAACCTTCGCCGACTACATGGCGGAATTCCTACGCGCTCCGGCGCTAACTTTCCGTCTTCTCCTGCTTTCTCGTCTCGGCCGCTCGATTAAATACCTTCCGCGCCACCTTCCAGAAATTTCTCGTCATTTCGTCGGCGCGATACGCAGCGAAGGCTGGGGAGAGGCACGAGACGGTTCGACTGCCCTCTCCGGAGGATGATTCACTCGGTCTGACCCCGCCTCCTTCGTTCTAGAAAAATCGCGGTCTTGCTGGGCCGCCGATGTGGGGTGAGGAGGATCGTCTGCGAAGCCGTGCTTCTGCGGGGAGAGCGCGCGCCTGGGAGCCCTGGATGTTGGCTTTCTTTTTTTTAGATGCGGAGCATCTTATACTCGCGCCTTGTAGTGCGCCGTCCGCACCGCTTCTCGAACATTCGACAGCTGACGCGCGCGCATGCGCCGTCGTGCCGTCGCCCACTCTTCCACCATCTGTGCATCCCTTCCTCCTCTACACACCGCGCGCGCTTCACTCCTCCACCATCTGTGCACCCTTCCTCCTCTACACACCGCGTTCGACATCTACAATTCTCCTGATTCTCCAGTGGACGCGCATGTGGCGTCGCGCTTCGAGAACATTCAACAGCTGACAGTGCATGCGCCATCGTGCTGTATAATATACTCAAGGTCGGCGCTCGCTCGCTCAGTTGCCGCTCGTCGGTTGGTTTGTACGGCGCGTCGACGTCCAAGGTCGCGGTGAAATGAATTCCAACGAATCCACAAACACAATGATCGACGTCCCTTCGACCAGCGCCGCCCTTTCGCATACGTGTGTACGTGTTCACTCATTTAACACCCCCTCCTACAACCACGTTAACCAATTTAGCCATCGACCCAAGTAAGTCGCAATTTAACACCCCATTTCACAACCACGTTAACCAATTTAGCCATCGACCCAAGTAAGTCGCACTTTAACACCCCGTTAACCAATTATATGGTCCGCATCCTCCTCAGTGTTCCCCCGAGGGAAGCTGCGGGCAATTTTTTTTTCTTTTTACCTCGCGGCGTTTCTGCCGCCCGTTGTCGCAAGGATTTGGCGGCGCGCTCTTGTTTAGCGCTCGTTCTGTGACAAACAGACTAACGCAAAAGTATTTCTTATTGCTAATTTATCATTATTTCTTCATGATTAAACAAAATTTTATGAACCTCCCTACAGCACCTAAGAGTAATGTGACACAAGTGCCACAAAATTGCTCTATGTGAAAGTGATTGCTCATGCAGATTTACGTGAAACGGCGGAGAATATGCTTTTAGGTAATGCTTCCATGAGCAGAAGATTTTGGCGGTGGTGTCCACATTCGCGAAAGACCCGGTACTTGATCGTGAACAGAAATGCGTGTGTAAACAGTTGGTTTCCGAAGGCGGAAGGTCACGCGCCTGTTTGTGTGAGCCATTTTCAAATAAGTGATGCTCTTCATTGTGTACTTCCCGGCAGGCCGCTATTTGTGATATAGAAATGTCATGTTTGATCAAAGGCGCTTCCAATGTCACGTTAGTTTGCGTTGTTTAATTACGTTGTTTTACGTATGCCTGTCAGTTTTGCGTGTAGCAACAGAAGTGTGGCCCTGGTATACACGTGCACGAGGGTTCAAAGCTCGGCATGGAGGCACGTAGACGTTGGGAGGGAGCAACGTGCAATGTGATAGGGAGATGCCACGTTACTGTAACATAGCCATATCATTACCCGAAACTATACAAAACCTTTGGTTTTTACGCATCTTTGAGCAGGGACACCGACAGTATACTGTCCTGCTGAGTGTATCGGAGTGGTGAGACACCGGACGGCAAGGGCACCGTCACTTATAATAACCGATGGGGCACTTAAACCGTTTGTCACAAAAAACTCCCAAGCATTTCCCCGAGGGTGAACATGGTTAAGTGCGAATACACGGGGTGATGCTATGAGGGGTATTTATTAATTCGCACTATTATATTTATTAATAACACTATGATGCCTTCATGGTGTAATGGTTCCTGAGAATCGCAATTTGATCACACGGGGGAGTTTACGTTAACTCACTGGCGAATGCCAACGGATTTTAACATTACTCCCCCTCACGACCCGCTCTCGACGGGAGACTGAGAGAGAAGGCGGGCGCGCGAGAGAGAGGGGTGCGCGCGCAGCTGCAGCGAGCGAAGGGGGGAGGGGGTATCAGGCGCGTTACTGACACCGATATCAGCGTCGCGTCCGTGGCTTATTCGGTAGAGCGTCGCGCTGCTGCCCGCCAAGTCCTCTTTCTTTTAAAGATAGAGAGAAGACTGCGGATGCCGCCGACGGCGGTGGATGGTTTGGGGTCGCTTGTAAAGTGTATTCACACTTAAAACGAGCACTCAAATTGGGCGCGCCACCAACTTCTCGCGACGAAACGCCGGAGTGACGCCGCGAGGTCAACGATAAAAAAAGAAAACAAACATCCAAAGACTCCCCGGGCGCGCGACTATCTCCCTCGGAAGCGTAGGTTCGCCAACGAAACCTCCTCGCGTCGGCGGCTGAGCAAGCACTGGAATTTTCCAGATGGAAAGGGGCGGGGTGATGCCGGGTTGCGTCATCCGTCGTGGACTGCCTTCGAACCGTCTCGCCCTCTCCCCGGCCTTCGCTGCGTGTCGCGCCGACGAAATGATGAGAACTTTCTTGAATCTCGCGCGGAAGGTATTTAACCGAGCAGTGGAGATGGGAAAGCAGAAGAAGACGGAAGTTAGCGCCAGAGCGCGGAGGGATTCCACTTAGTAGTCGGCGAAGGTTTTGTCCGTAGAGACAAAGCAGGATAAGAAGATGATTTCCACCTGAGGGGTGACGACTCGAGCTATAGGCAAGAGCGGGTGTCTACCGCTATTGAGCGAAGACGCTTGGCAACAGCTGCGTGTGTGAAGCCGACGTGTTTCCGGCGAAGAAGTTTGAAGCTTGGAGAGTGGCCAAGTGAAAACGTGAGGTTTCCTGGAAGAGAAACTTCAGGGGCAGCGGAACGGCAGAGGTTTCCTGAAAGAGAAACTTCGGGGCAGCGGAACGAAAGAGGTTTCCTGGAAGAGAAACTTCGGGGGCAGCGGAACGACAACAACGCTCGACTTTGAGTGAGTGATTCTCGGAAGAGTATCATCCAGACTTTTGTTCCAAGAACTTTGGACTGAATAGGTTTTCTATCACTTTAGTCTTTGAGTGTCTTGGTTGTTCAATGCATGCGACTGCATTGTAGTGCGTATTGTTGTCTGTGTCCGTTGTCTCGAGTGAGGCTGATTGTACTGTGTAGTGTGTTGTTTGATTGGTGACATATTGTATTCAACGATTGTTGAGTATGCATATTTGTGTATCGTTTTTATCTGCCATTATTGAGAATATAATTTTGTTTTGTTTATCAACTCTCGGCTCTGACTTGTTCTTTGGGCCACAGCCGGCGTCCGCTGGCGCGCCAAAAAGGACCACTTCTAAATTGTCGACGCTTTCGTGGTGCGGTTCGGGGGGCCGATACTTCGGCCCTTGGAATTAGCCCGGCGATCACCTCCCTAATTAACGGAACCCGTGACAACGTAACTCTGAAAAGAACCTAGTGTGCTTTTACGCTGCGGTGAAAAATACCGCACTATGCACGAAAGAAAGCCAGCAGAAGACTATAGTCTTTGAACGAAATTTGCTGCGAAGCGTGCAGATGAAAGACCAATTTTTGTTCACTGCTTTTCTGTTCAAATGAATACGAGTTCTTTTCTTGCAAGCGTGATCCCTATGAAAGAGTGTAAATAAACTCCAGAAAGGAAGTTATATAGTTGTTTGCTGTAAAACTGCATGCAGTTCATTGAAGTCACTCGTCACAACAGGCTGTCTTACTTACCCAGATGACGGCAATAAGAATTCATAAGTGCCGGTTAGGGTCTGTGGATCAATGCCCAATCGCTTTGTAGACAGGCACTCGAATATGGTGTCGTTGTCTGAGTCTGAGATCGCCACAGCGTGTTTGAATTTTTCCATTGTCTGCAATAAAAAATATGAGAGGTACCTAAATAAAGTAAGAATTTCTGTCTTTGGGGTGGACGCAATACAACGAAAGCGGATAAAGTCAATAGACAGAGGCATATTATGACTCATGTGCTAGCTTTAACATGTCATTAGCTAGTGAAGGCTATGCAGGTTTTTAAACTATTAGGCACTAATAATTAAATGTTTCAATACAATCCACACATTGTGCAAATATATGTCATGTTAGGCAGCGAGTAACAAGTAGCCTACGCAGGATTTATGACTTTTCCTACGTGGTGGATTGGTTTGCTTTTTCTTTTTGCTAAGCCCTGCTTAGCTTTAAAATTAGTACTTTTGTTATTCGGAGGAGCTTAACGGATGTTATTACAGCACGATGGAGAAACCACCAGTACGTTTAATCGCTAGGCTTTCCTCTGTGAGCTGCTGTTCTGACCTTTTCTTTCTTTCTTTCCTTCCTTCTTTCTTATTTTCTTCTTTCTTTCTTTCTTTCTTTCTTTCTTTCTTTTATACGCGCCGAAGGACAATGGCGTCTACGGCCGAATGTCGTGTAAGTGAGTTTGGCGCAGCGATGAAAACTCCAGGAAGGAGCGGGAATATTTCGCGCATTCATGAATCAAGCTGAGAAGTCCAGATAGATAGATAGATAGATAGATAGATAGATAGATAGATAGATAGATAGATAGATAGATAGATAGATATTGTGAGGTTTATGACCCAAAACCACAATATGATTATGAGAGACGCCGTAGTGGAGGGCTCCGGAAATTGTGACCTCCTGGGGTTTTAACGTGCGCCCAAATCTGAGCACACTGGCCTACAGCATTTCCGACTCTATCGAAATGCAGCCACCGCAGCCGGGATTCAATCCCACCACCTGCGGGTCAGCAGCCGAGTACCTTATGCACTAGACCTCCACAGCGAGGCCAGGTTTAGAAGTCTGTCTCTCGCGTTTGTGAAGTTGATGGCACCAACTACTCCCATACAGACACTGATGCACAGCCGTAATGATCTTATCTTCACAGAAGCTACCTACAGCTGCACGATTAAGGAACACAACACAAGCCAAGCACATCCAAATAACGGTCACCGACACAAAAATCACACACCTTCGCAGCGGCGGACTGTCAGTTGAAACACATTGAGTGAAAAACCTTACGGTTCTACTTTTTACTGACGAATTTCGCACTATCCTTTTCTGTTTTTGTGTTTGCCCATTTTCTTTCACTCTGTCACGCTTTTTTCTTTGTATTCTTTTTCGCACTCTACTCCGCCAACCAAGTTATTGCAACCATAGCCAGGCCTCCCACGCCGGACAAATCGGTGCAATGTATTCGGAAAGCGAAGCGGAAGAATTAAAGGGCGAAAAGAGCGCTCGGGCATGCTATTTTTCACGAACGCTATAGGGGGGCTCACCAACCACAAAAGAGCCTCTGTATAAAAAAGTCTAATTGGTGAAAATAAGAAAAAGCGCGCTTCCCACTATGAGTAAACCCGTACATTACGGGTGATGCTCTAGTATTCTACTACGGAATAACACCCCTACTTGAAGCTGCGTAGGATAAAAAATGCCCTAAGCTGGTGTCGTGGGAACGGGCCTTACTGGCTCTGACTGAGTGTAGATTATTCCTCAAGACCATGTTTTACTCTTTACTACACTTAATTTTTCTGGAAGGAAATGAACTGTAGTGCAGGGGTGAATTCTTATTCCGAATTTAGACTTAACTCATCACAACACTCTTCCGCGTCTTCAACACGTAACAGCATGGACACACAGATTTAAAGGTATCATCCAGCAGTGATCATGCGATTCGAAATAACTGATATTGACGAAAGCCTGTACGAAGGGTAGGTGCACTGCGACAAGACATTGAGAAGGTGTGATTTCTCATCTTGGTTTAAATACTTGAGTAAAAACGCCCTGAAACTGTTTAGTCAAGTTTGACTAGCATTTAGTAATTTGAGTATTTTTTCATGAAGATTCGCCATTACGAATGATGTGTGTCATTTGCCTCTCTCTGCAGCAAGTGAACACGGTGAATCTTGCACGGTGTATGTTACGACACTCTCACATAAGTGAGCGGAAAATTCTGGATACTAAGATTCATACAACATGTCCACAGGATTGCCAATATGCGTGGATTTCGGATTAAAGATTCTTCCAAAGTGGGGGATGCGTCTACTGCACTTTCGTGACCAGCAAGAATATGCCGTTCTGAACAATATATAGTCACAAGTGTATAAGTACACGATATAATAATGTTTTCGGAAGCGGTACTTTCCCAATCCGAGCATTACCCCATTCATACGAGGACAGTACGTGGAGCCTGTATATAGCATTGCAAGCGACATGCAATTGTTGGCTTTCCGACTGTTTGGTGTAGCAGGGGTCCTGCCTCAATCACATACACTAGCAACGCCAAAACTTAAAAGAAAGCAGCAAGTGACCTTGTGTCCTTGTAGGAAGTGCTTCTTAAAGAACAGAGGCATGGCGCTGCTGCTTCCCGCGTCAAACCGAAAGCTATGGCGGCCAGGGCACCTTGCACTAGTGTTGTTCCCTCTCTTTGACCTTGTGTCAGTGTGCGCTAAAATTAAGTTACGAAGCACCTTTGTGTGGTTGTTTGGGCGAAGAAAGGGTGTGAACAATCAAGGTGTCACTCAGAAAAAGAAATGCATGAGCATGCAGGACATGCAGATTTGAGGAACGAAAGACAGCCCTTCACAAAGCTGAAAGTATCGTTAGCTGTCCCTTTGACGTATCACAAAATACCAACGGAGCGTCCTGAAGTGCAAACTCCAGCACATTTTCTTGTCTGAAAAGGACTTACCAACCTTCCATTATTTGATAAGGAAGCAGACACACAAAGCGCTTATAGGGCTATCGGACGAAGAATTACCTGTTGTCGCACATTCCTGCTTAAATTTTTATAGTCATCGTCATATTTGGAGTGTCGATATAGGAGTTTTACTCTTTTCCTCTATGAGTAAAATGGCATCCTTTCTGTGGAATATGGGCAGAACTTCGGGCAAACATCGTAGAAAAAGTTATTGAGCCAGAGTCTATGTTTTAATTAATTTATTTAAAAATACTGCAGGCCCTTTTCGGGCCCAAGCAAGAGCGGGTACATTACTGTCAGTGAGAAGTAAAAGAATCAATGGTGAAGCTACCAAACGGGTCCGCCTACAGCCTACCAATAATAACTCATTTTTCCTTCTTGTAAGGGTATAACTTTTCCGAGGCTGGTAGGTTGTTTTTGTGTTTATTGGCATAGCGCATACAGGTATATTTAAAGACAATAAGGTGTGCAGAACCAGCACGGAGGACCACAAAATAGTGATCCGAACGAGGAACTATAGGTTCTATCAACAGTGCGCTCTTAGCGTCAGCTCTCCTCTTACAGCATTGTTGTGAGTGCGCTTGGCTGCACCGCCATGTTCCCATATGGGCCATGAGGCAACGTAGACAAGACGCCAAGGTGTGGTTTGATAAGAAGCGCATTCGCTACTTCCCTACTTATGTTGCTTTCATGACGTAGTAATAGTACAAAATTTCATTCTTTTGTTTAGGCGTTTGTGTAACTTGTAGGTTATACAGTTAGTGTTGATATAATTGCACGATTTCATTGGCGTGCCTTTGGTCTTTGATATTCTGTATGACAGTAGCAGCACGCATGCAGAAAGTTTGTTAATACCTTCTGACGAACTCAAAACTTTTGGATTTGAATGATAGATGAAAATTTTGGCACTGAAACGGTATATCACTAGAAGAAATGATTACCAGGAAGCCGTCAGGTGAATCTCGAGGTAACTTCATAGGACCTCCTGGAGAACCCAGCTTGCAAATGGCGCTGCCTGCAAGACATATCAGGACGAAACCAAATGCTGCGTGCATTTCCAGTTTTTTGGGCAATGAATAGCTGTGGTCCGTTGCAGCTGGACGCTTTATTCAGAGCGGGAACATGAGTGCGAATAAAAAATTGGGCACCGTTGCACATACGCGTATAGAAACACACACACACACACACACAGACACACACACACACACACACACACACACACACACACACACACACACACACACACACACACACACACACACACACACACACACACACACACACACACACACACACACACACACACACACATATATATATATATATATATATATATATATATATATATATATATATATATACCAAAAACAAGCAGTGAGCGTAACGGCCTGTGCCTCAACTGTCCAACGTGACTTTAATAGCTGGTACCTTTGTTTCCTAAATACACATATAGTTGTAGCGGGAAAAAAAAGACGCAGCGTGCTACATGACGACTAAACGGGCCCCTAGACAACCTGACAGGATGTGAGCGAGGTTATTACTTTCAAAATAACCTTCCATGCCAATCTCTCGCTGAAACATTTTGAGACAAACATAAAATCATAACAGTGGTGCAAATGAAACTGTTTTGTGACATGGTTACATCAATATTAGGTGATCCTCTCCTGGATATGTCATACAGGATCGACAACGGAGAGGATCAGTGCACTGTCACGTAAGCTTCTCGTACGCATTAATAATTGCGAAGCACTAATCCGTAACAAGTGGTGCACTCTCACAGCTGCATCTTATCTCGATGACTGAATTGCCCCGTCGAGCTTTGTCCCATTTCGAGCAGAACAGAACATTATCCAATACTCTTTTTTTGTAATACAATCAGAAGCTTATGTATTCAGGCAGTAGTTCAATGCCCGTCTCGACTGTGATAGAGGTGGATGACGACCGGTGTTTAGGCGTTTTGTAATTGCTTGCGTGTTACTGCTGTTACCAACTGCTGGCCCACAACAATTATTCGAACACGGCAAAACATTATTACCGTTGGTTCACATTGGTCAATGGTAACTGAGCGAAAAGCAAGACCGCCTCGTACCAGCTAATGATGTATATTCGGGGGTAAATTTGTCCAAGTAATGGGAAATGTTTCAAGTGCTG